CAGGGGGAGGAAAGAAAGGGGAGAAGAAGCTCTCCCCTTCTCAGGTGTTGTCCTTGGAGAGTTAACTTGCCCAGAACAGTGAAAGAAAAAGCTGCTTTTATGTGAACTTCTGCAGACTGTGAACTTCTGAGCCCCTCCCCTTACATGCTAGGTATAAAACTCTGAAACTCCCTGAACTTGGGGCTCAGGGGATTAATTGATTACAGCAAAAACTGTGCCCTCTGAACCTGGCTGCAGCCAAATAAAACTGTTTCCTGCTATCTTCGGTGCCTTGCCTCTGTCCCTACAACAGAAGCATACTCCTGAAAGTAAGTTACCTTCACAGATAACTCTTGTTTTCTTGTCTCTTAATATAATTTAGATGCCTATCCAAGACAAAGAAGCTTCAAAGAAAGAAGTGATTCTTTTGGCYAAGATGAAACATCCCAACATTGTAACCTTCTTTAGTTCATTTCAAGGTGAGGTTTTTCTAATATTCTTAAGTATGCACATGTTGACTTATTAAAGTTGTTCCTGAGGCTTGTGTATACATTAATTTTTATAAATGGACTCATTTTCCCATTTACTTAAATTGCAGTTTGAGATGTTATATTCTAGTGGGTTTCTGTAGACAGCTTTCTTCTGTTTTATTAAGTCTTCCCCTCTCATCTTAATCTCACTCCCCAACGTAGTCGATGATTGGCATATTAGGTTTGCAGCAGTAACAACTCCCGAGTTTCCATAGCCCATGCTATAAACACCTGTTTATCACTCACATAATGTGCTGGCTGTGGGTAGGCTGTGGTCTGAACTTTGGGTTCCGGGCTGAAGGGACAATCTAGATAGAGCATACTCTTTTCTTAGCAAGTGGAAAGAGGGAGACACGGAGCACCACACTATCATGCTCACTAGGATGTGTGTGTAAGGGGGTATACTCTGCTTTCAGGAGGCCCTGAGTGTCCCATGGCAACAGGGCTGTGTAATCCTTTCATAGAGAGTCAGCAAACAGCCAGAAGACAGCCAAGTGAACTGCCCATTAGAGGGGAAGAACTTTGAGGAAGGAATTCCCTCCCCTGCACAGCTTGAATTTATCTATTCTGCCTCCATCCATAACTCTTACAAAGGTTAAAAAGAAAAATTAGAGTCCTGGTCAAAGACTATTTATTCAGTTAGTATCCATTAACTGAATGCTTACTTAAGCTTAATTCCATATATCAGGAATACAGCAGTATACAAAACACAAAACCCCTGTCCTCATGAAGTTTACATTAAAATGGGAAGAGAGAGACAGTACACCAATATAGGGTGTGTCAGGTGTTTATAGGCTGTGGCAGGGCCATATATGCCCACAGTTTATCAAGGTTGGGATGGTCCTCAGCCCAGCCCCCAGTACTGGGCTATTTTAATTTGTGTGTAAGTAGTTGAAGGAACCAAAGGGTTAACCTAGATATTGTCAAGCATAATCCAGTGGTTAAAAAAAATTAATGAATAAATACACCCACTCTTTCTTGAGTTTTTAATTCTGTGTAGGGTACTGTGCTCCTTCCTGATTAAACCCTGGATTCAAAGTACTTCTGTGCATCTGGTCCTTTAACTATGGGTGTATAAAGGATCTCTGGGATTTTTCTGAAGACTTCCTGGGAACAAAGCAGTACATGGGGGCAGGCAGTGAATTTTTTTTTATAGTCCTGAGGGTTGCACTAGGGCCTCAAACGTGATAGGCAAATGTTCTTCCACTGAGCTACACCCTAGTCCTGAACAACTATGAAGGACAGCCAATGTATAAAGTCTCCTGCATTCCTGTGCATTGATTCCTAACAACTCCATAAGACCATCTTTCTCTTCCTAATTTTTTTTTGTTATTATTGTGACTCTCTTTATGTAGGTCACTCCTGTTCATCCCTAGGACTTCCCTGAACTCATAAGTCAAACTATAACCCTTTGCTGATCTTCCACAGCACTTTTTTTTTTACTTATGTATGCATATCTACATATACAGAATTACAGATTTATTTAGSATTTGTTTTCCTTCAGACAGCATTGGGGAGCTGGGGCTGAAGCTCAGTGGTAGAGCACTTGCTTAGCCTGTATGGAGCCCTGGGTTTGATCCCTAGCACTGTACACACACAGAATGCAGACAGAAAACTTAACGAATCTGGGGGGCTTCTGTCTTTTTTGCTCACTCCTTTGTTCCTCAGCATGTGGCATGTAGTAGTTGCTCAATATGTATTTGCTGAATAAGCAAATGAACTGGACCTTTTCAATAGACCACAGTATATCTTTACCCCATGCAAAATGTATTTTTAAGTTTACAATACTGTTACAAAACCAAGGTCATTCTTACACTATAAATAATCTCTACTGAGTTTGTTTCTAGTGTTAATTTAAATTTCCTTAGGACTTTTTTTTTTTCCATTTTGTTTTGTTAAGTAGAGCATCTCTGTGCTGGGGAAAACGGGAGCTATTAGAATGCCTATGAGTTTGCTTGGCAGATTGTTGATACTAGACACATCAAACTTTYTCAAAAGCTTCAGAGGTCCTTGTTGCCCCTGACTGAGAGAGTGTGTGAAAGCAGGCTTTGTTTACCCTAAGACAGCTTATCTCTGAACATTAGATCCGTGGCTCTAATGTTTGCCTATGAAAAATATGAGGTTTTTATGGGTTTGAATTAACTTAAGAAGAATGTGTACTGATGTTTTCCTAAGACTAATTTAACTGTATTTAAATTCCACCAATAAATATTCATTAACTTTCCTTTTACATTTTTTATTTTTTATTTGTTCTTTTTAGGTACATGACAGTAGAGTGTATTTTTACGTATCATACATACATGGAGTATAACTTCCCATTTTTGTGGTTGCACATGATGTGGAGTGACACTGGAGGTGTATTCATATATGAACATAGGAAAGTTATGTCTGATTCGTTCCACTGTCTCCTCCATTCCCAATCTCCCTCTCTTCCCTTCATTCCCCTTTGTCTAATCCAGTGAACTTCTATCCCACCTCACTACTGCCCACTTATTGTGTGTTAGCATCCACATATCCGAGAGAACATTCAGCCTTGTTTTTTGGGATTGGATTATTGCACTTAGCATGATAGTCTCCACCTCCATCTATTTACTGGTAAATGCCATAATTTCATTCTTCTTTATAGCTGAATAATAGTCCATTGTGTATATATGCCATTCATCTATTGAAGGGCACCTAGGTTGGTTCCATAGCTTGGCTATTGTGACTTTAGCTGCTATAAATATTGATGTGGCTGTGTCACTATAGTATGCTGATGGCGTAACTCATTAACTATCTCTAGGCAAGTTCTAGGTCTTGGAGATCAATCAGTGAACAAAACACACAAAAATTCCTGCACTGTTGTATATTTTTACTATTGTCACATAACCAGGAACCATACATTTCATGGCCCAAAACAGTACCCGTTTATTAACTGTCTCTATGTCCTTCTCTCTTTGGGTTCCCTGATGTATCTCTTAATTTTTGTGGGTCAGACGYCTCTTTCATGTGCTAATTACATGGATACAAGGAATACAAAAGAATAATATGTGGGCTTTGTCTTCAGAGAGCCCACAAACTAGTAAGAGAAACCAACAAGTTAGTAAAAGCCTTTTTTTTTTTTTTTCTCCTTCCTAACAAGATCCCGGCTGGTGGGCTGGCTAATGAAAAAATTAAATTAGGAAATGATATGTCTTAGACTCTTCTGTCCACTATAACAAAATATTAGGTAGTTTTCAAACAGACTTGTATTGCTGACAGTTCTCTAGGCCAAGATCAAGTCTAAGRTCAAGGTATCGGCAATATCAGGGTCTGAAGACAGTTCACTTTCTGGTTCATAGATGGTAACTTCTTTCTGTGTCCTCAATATGGTGGAAGGGGAGAGTTCTCCCTTGGGCCTCTTTTATAAGGGCACTCGTCACATTCATGTGGGTGCCACCCTCATGGCCTGACCACCTCCTGTAAGCCCTACCTCTTAATACTATTACCTTGGGGGTTAGGATTTCAACACAGATTTTGTGGGATACAAACATGTAGACCAAGAAATATATTTTAAAATAATTTACTAACCTTTTGATGTAAGGCAAAGACCTGGTTTTTTCTTATTCCTTATATAACCTATATCCCTCATCTGGAATCTTGAGTTTCCTTTCTTTAACATGCAATAAGAAAGAATTTGCATGTAATCTGGGTCCACAATCCTTTTAGAGCTTTTCCCATTTTATTTTACCTGTCCCATCCAACATTGAGGTCAACATCTTAATTTTTTTTTAGCAGCTCATGAATTCCTCCAAAATCATTCAAAGATGCTTTTATAGAAATAATCACATCTTTTTTATATTGTATCTGTCTTGGTGAGAATCAGTTTGATTGGCGGGAGCACAGGGACTTGGATGTCCTTGACAGCCCAGGAGCCACTGGTGGTGACCTTGGGTGGCCAACAGCAATGGTGAGCATTCAGCGGTCTAGGGAGTAGGTTAGGCAGAGGTCAGTCACAGTTTCTGTTGTGTCAACAGTATGATTGGACAATTTTATATAAATACAAGTTTGTATCCAAATTCAAGAAGGGGCTATTAATTCTTCCTGGAATGTTGGGAAAGACTCACAGCTGCTATTTTTACAGCAGATTTCTAATCTCTTATGGAATTATAGTAGATAATAATATTATCATATATTGACCTCTTATTGAGTGTGTTGTTCTAAGCATCTGGTATTAACTCATTTAAATCCTTCCAACAACCTTAAGAGGAAGTTTCTATTCTATAATTTCCATTTCACAGATGAGTTAATAAGGCACAGAGAAATCAATTTACCCAGAGTCACAGAGCTAAGAAATACAAGTGGTGAAGTGAGATTAGAACGMAGTCTGGCTGGGCATGGTGGTGCACATCTGTAATCCCAGCAACTGGAGAGGCTGGGACAGGAGGATCACAAGTTCAAGACCAGCCTCACTAACTTCGAAAAACCCTAACTCAAAATAAAATAAAAAGGTCTGGGGATGTAGCTCAGTGGTGGAATGTTTGTGCATTTAATCCCCAGAACTAAACAAATGAACAAACAAAAATAATTCAGACCATCTTGATTTCACAGCCAAAAGTTTAGTTTAGTTTTGTTTTGTTTGGCTTATTAGTTGTACTTCTTTTTAAATTTGTTCTAATTGATTATACATGACAGCAGAATGCACTTCAATTTATTGTACACAAATGGAGCACAACTTTTCATTTCTCTGGTCATACACCATGTAGAGTTGCACCATTTGTGCAATCACACATGTACCTAGAGTTATGATGACCTTCTCATTCTACCATATTTCCTACCCCCATGTCCTCTCCCTTTCTCTCCCTCCCCTCTGTCCAGTCCAAAGTTCCTCCATTCTTTCCCCAAAACCCCATTGTTGATCAGCATCCACATATCAGAGAAAACATTTAGCTTTTGGTTTTTTGGGATTGGCTTATTTCACTCAGCATGATAGTCTCCATTTCCATCCATTTACCAACAAATGTCATAATTTTATTCTTTCTTAATGCTGAGTAATATTCCATTGTGTATATGTACCACAGTTTCTTTATCCATTCATCTATTGAAGGGTATCTAGSTTRGTTCCACAGTTTAGCTATTGTGATTTGTGCTACTATAAACATTGATTTGGCTCTGTAGTATGCTGATTTTAAGTGAGATGAAATCTTAAGAGTAGTTTTGATTTGCATTTCTCTAATTGCTAGATATGATGAACATTTTTTCATATATTTGTTGATCATTTGAATACCTTCTGCTGAGAAAAGTCTCACAGCCAGAGTTTTAAATTGTATTCTGCCTTTTTCTGTTATATTTCTCCACCTTCTAGAATTTGAAGTAATTCAAATTACTGTTGAATATCTAACATTTTCTAGCACCAAATGATGACCTTTTTTACAGAAAACAGCAGATTATTTATCGTAATGGAATATTGTGATGGAGGGGATCTTGCAAAAAGGATCCTCAGGCAGCGGGGAGTGCTATTTAGTGAAGATCAGGTAAAGAGCATTTCTAATTTGGCTTTTAATTTATATGTGTGTGTGAGGGTATTAAACATATAAAGTCAGAGTAGCGTATCTGGGCTGGGGTTGTGGTTCAACGATAGTGCRCTTGCCTAACATGCATGAGACATTGGGTTCGATTCCAGGCACCACATAAAAATAAAGAAAATAAATAGCAGACCATGTTTATATGAAGCATGGCTTTTGCTAGAGAAATTCAAAATAGTGGATGCATATTCTTAGTAGATTTAGTCCCAGAACATGTTTATAATTGAACTGAAATTGAATCTCTTTTTGAGAATTAAAGAGAAGACAATCTCTTTGAATGATCTATGTAGGATGCCTCTAAGACAAGACTTTATGGTTTAAAAAAAAGTATGAACGTTGATGTTGATATTCGTTAGCCATTTTAAATGTTCATATTCATAGTTTTACTCTCTTTTCTTTTACCATGTAGTCTCTTAAAGTAGCTTCCCACTTTTCTAAGGGAGATAGGGGATCTTCTTAACAATGCCTATTCAGTTTCATTAGTTTTTAATTTATATATTTTTTTCTTTTGTGGTGCTAGGAATCAAACTTGTGCATACTAGACAAGTGTTCTACCACTGAGCTAAGCCTCCAACCCTAGTTTTATTGGTTAGGGGAAAAGGTGAAGAATAATGGCCTCAGTTCCCATTTTCTCTTTGTACAAATACATTTTTCTTCTATATGTCAAGCCTCCTTTRGGACCCTCCTGGGAGTTGTATTCATAAAGGACACAAGTATGCGTGTGTGGAGGGGAATCTAAATTAGGGCTTGTGTGGCTGATGGGCAAGGCCATTGTCTCAAGCAGTATACAGGAATGGCCCATCATTTTTCTTTTGGCCATTTGTTTCTTTATTCTATTTTAGCATTTAAGAGCATCATGCCCATGTAATTTTTTCCTAAAGTTGAAAATTTTGAACGTATGAATATTTTGAATGTTGAATATTTTAAGTCATTACCTTCAATCTCTGTAAATTTAATCAAGCATTCTTCCCACACTCATTTACATTATATATTTAATTCTGTATTTATGGAAGTCCTCCTTTCTTCTTATCTAGGTATTATTTGGGCACATTTTATAAAAATGCTTTTCAGGACAAAATTTTGAATTACATTTTCTTTTGTTGGGAAAGAACTAAAATGACCACGGAATCTTAACGTCTGGAATTTAGCCATTTTTCTTTTATTATTTTCTTCTTTCTATATAATTTGGCAGAGAACCAGTGAAATTTTAGAATAATTTAAATAAATCTCTATAAGAACAGAACACATTTTAATAAAGAGGCTCATGGCCAACTAAGATAAAATTATGACTAAAATATAGTTGAGTTTTTTGTTTTATTTATTTATTTATTTATTTCATTGCTGGGGATTGAACTCAGGGCTTCCCTCCCCTGCTCATTTGTCTTCTTCTGTTGTGGAATTCCTATGATACCAATGATGTTTGGATTCCCTTTCTGGGCCTCTATGTTTCTAGCTGAAAGAGAAAAACAATATGATAAGATAATATTTATTAGCTCCTCTCCTATAAACACACACACAAAAATATTATTTCTCTCTCTTTACGTGTTATAATGAGGGCATTTCAATGGCTCTCAGGCTAGCCAATAGTTGCGTATTATGTTTGCCTCCACAGATCCTGGGTTGGTTTGTACAGATTTCTCTTGGACTAAAACATATTCACGACAGGAAGATATTACACAGGGACATAAAATCACAGGTAACAGCTCAGAGAGAAGGCTCAGATAGTATGAGTCTTGTCTTTTCTTGAAATATCTCAAACAGTGTAACATTTTCCCATTTTTAGAACATTTTCCTTAGCAAGAATGGAATGGTTGCAAAACTTGGGGACTTTGGTATAGCAAGAGTCCTGAATAAGTAAGTGCTTTTAAAAATCATTTTTCTTTCTAACCAAGGAAACTACTAAGAACATGGTTGTCTAAATAATTTTAGGTAACTTTATATATATGCATTAAATCCATTCAGATATCAGTAATTAAAATTCCCAAGATTAACTGTGGCATCATTGAATGATGGTGGTGGTGTTGTATTGTATGGTCCAAGTTTATCAAATGTGAGACTTGACTGTCACAGGCATCAAACTAGTAAGAACTGGGTGAAACAGGCAGGTTTACACTTGCGAGGGAAATGTACTGGTGAACTCTTTTGGAAGACCACTTGGTGGTAATATATATCAAGAGATTTAAAGATGTCAATTTTTTTGAAATTTGAAATAATTTAAATAATAATTTAATAATATTTGGGAAATTATACAATTAAATAACATGTGACATAACCATGTACCTAATTTTTTTATTTTTTTCTGTACTAGGGATGAAACCTAGGGCCTTGTGCATGCTAGGCAAGTGCTCTACCACTGAGCCACATCCCCAGCCCCAGGATATGGTTTAAAAAGATACATACACACACACACAAACACACACATACACACACACATACACAATGTAAACTTGGGGAGGGGGTGAATTATAAGTTTAAAAATTTACTAATTTTATTACTCTATTACCAAAGTATGGTGTTTTGCTTTCTTCTAATGTGTGTAAGTATCAAATTTTGTGATTCATTTTTATACCTTTTCTCACATGTCTATATCTTAAACCTTTCTTACTCCAATAATCAACCACACTACTTTTATTTAATATAATTTACTAGTTCCATGGAACTTGCCCGGACTTGTGTTGGAACACCTTACTACCTGTCCCCAGAGATCTGTCAGAGTAAACCGTACAACAATAAAACGTGAGTTGCTGGCTGTTGGTTTGAAAGTGTCAGTAAAATCTGATGAATGATAATGAATTAAGATTCCAGAAACTAAAGCTCTAATCTCCTCTCTCTTCTGGTACTTTTGTAATTTCATTTTCTCCAGGTGGGAAATGGAATTCCCAGTGACTTTCTGACTAGTGTTCCCTGGATCTTTCAAACTTATTTAGAATAAATTCATTCTTCTTCATTTAAAAATACAAGTGATATGGAGAATAACATTGGAAATTGCAGTCACTGGGGTGTCCATCTTTGTATTTTATTTACTTTTTTTTTTTTTTGGTGTTATGATGATGGGATTGCACTTTAGGGCCTTGAGTATGCAAAGCTCACGCTGTACCCTGAGTAATTACCTAGTCCTATTTTATTTATCTTGTACTCATCCTATTTTGTGAAATGAAGTGTTATCTGATTTTAGAATAAAAAAGAAACCTAATTAATATCTTTAAGCCAAATTGTAATTTTGTCCTTTGCCAGTGCATACGGCAATAAAAGATGAAGGTGTAGTTTTTACCTCCAGGTAAGAGAAAGAAAAAAATTCATTTTTCAAAGCTGCTGCCACTGGACCAGCTGGACTAGAAGCAAGACCAAGTTCCCATTGGGGGTTAATTGTCTCATTTGTTTAAGAAAATGCCAGTGGGTATTTATTGGGCTTTGAAAGAAACAAATGGAAGGCAAAGCCTAGAAGATAGAACTGTATACAAAGAATACTAGACATTTCTCTGCATAATAAAATAGTAGACATTTTTTGTGCTTGTTGTGTTTGAGGCTGAGAATCTAATCCAAGGTCCTGCCCTTGTCCATTTTACCACTGAGTTATACGTCCTACTAGGTGTTGGTTGTCAGTTTGCTTTGATGTCTGGCCYCAGAGAGTTTGGCTGCAGGTTGTACAGTGCTGCAGGTAGGGTCATGCCTGGTGGAAGGTAGGGAGTGGGGAGCAGAGCTTGGCACTGCCTGGTAAAGATTGTCCCGGACGTGGTTTTGTTTCCTCCTACTGCTTCTTAAGAGTTTGAGTCAACATTGAAATATTGAGAGACTTTAAAACATGCAGATTTGGTTTTTCTGAAAATTGGAAGATTTTAATTATCTGGGTGGCCACTGGCCCCTTTAGATCTGTGAACCAGCCCCTGGATCACCATGGCCCTCACCACACAGAGGATGGCACAACATGCCAATGGCCCCGCCCAGCCCCCAGGCAGCTCCCTTACTGTCCTGAGTCCTGCAGGCTGGTGACATTAGCACACTTGCCACAGAGGGTGCTTTGGAAACAGAAGAGAAGTTTGGGGCCCAAGGAATACCTCATAAACACAAAATCTGTGTGGTGAGAAAGGGTCTTTGAGTTTCTTGAAACTCTAGAAAATATTTCAGATTTGTTTCCTGCCAATTCCGTGCCCATTCTCTATTTTATTTAAAGCTTTGGTATAAGTCTCTCTTTGTCTCACTTGTTACACACACACACACACACACACACACACACACACACACACACACAGAGTTATTAGTAATAGTGGAAATATTTACCTCTGTGTATCTGACTCCTGTCTATTTATCTGTTTATCTCTATTTTTAAACAGGAAAAAGAAATCACAAGATTTGTTACATGCCCTAAACCATGGGAGTTCTTTTTTTTTGGTTGTTGTAGTTGGGAGGATTGGTGCTGGGGATTGAACCCTTGGGCCTCTACACATGCTCAGTACATGCTGTGCTACTGAGCTACACCCACAGCCAACCCTCCCCCGCTTCACCACATGGATTGAACCCAGAGGTGATCTACTGCTTCATCCCTATCCCTTTTCATTTTTTATTTTGAGACAGGGTCTCACTAAGTTGCTGGGGCTAGCCTCAAACTTGTGATCCTCCTGCCTTAGCCTCTGAAGTCACTAAGATTTCAAGCTTTTGCCACCTCCCCTGACTAGCTTCTACCTCTCTTTAATGAATCCTAGTTTTGGCTCTTTGACAACCCCCTTGACATTTCATTATATATTCTTTTCACTTTCAGATTTAATTTTGCTTTTTATTCTATAACATAGTTCCTTCTTAAACCGATCACATATCAACATTTACCAACAGGGGCTGGGGTTGCAGCTCAGTGGTGCAGCACCTGTCCGACATTCCTGAGGCCCTGGATTTGAACCTGAACATTATAAAAAATAAAATAAGTGCAAAGTTGGTGAAAAGCAAAGCTTGGGTCCTAGCCAGATGCTATGTTCATCACTTACTATGACTTTAGTTCTATCAAGAGCTTTGAGTAGAATATACCCTTCAAAATCAACCATATTTCATCTTTTGAGTAAAGACAAATCCATATTTGACTACTGCCTCTCTCTTCCAAATTGCCAAAAACTCCACGACACGTTTTCTTTGGACACATGAAGTTGAAGTGAACATTGAGCCATCTCATTGTAGCTAAGTTTGTATACCTTTTGCCTGATGGGATTCTGACTAATTACAATAGTTTTTATTTTACTTCTTAGAWTTGATACTGTATCTCAAAGCTTTTGTAAAAACTGATAAAAACAGAGCTGCATATATGCAAGGCACTGTAAGGGTGAGAGCTTTTAGTAAAAATCATGAATATTTTCTTGGCATGTAAACTCTTGTCTTTCCTAGGGATATTTGGTCCCTTGGCTGTGTCTTATATGAGCTCTGCACACTCAAGCATCCAGTAAGTATGTTAATCATCAAATTTGTGTTGAACTATTGAAATGATGTAAATGAAATTAACTTCTGAGAGAAAAAGGTTAACATTTGGTTTCATTAGATTTTTTAAAAAATATATATTTTGTTTTAGTTGTAGTTGGACACAATACCTTTATTTTATTTTTATGTGGTGCTGAGGATCGAACCCAGTGCCCCACATGTGCTAGGTGAGCRCTCTACCGCTGAGCCACAACCCCAGTCCCTAGATTCTTAAAAATTATATGGATAGCTGGGCATAGTGGAATTTGCCTGTGGTCCTAGTTACTAAGAAGGCTGATGCAGGAGGAAGATTTGAGCCTAGGAGTTTGAGACTAGCCTGGGCAACATAGACCCAGTCTCAAAATGCCAGCAAGCAAACTATTTTTACATATAGTCCAAGTTGGAGGATAGTTATATACTCATTAAAAATAAGTTGTGTATGAATGTACATACATATACACACACACATATATACCCACCTATGTGTGCATGTGTGTGTGTGTGTGTGTGTGTGTGTGTGTGTGTACCAAAGGAAAAGGCACATGGGACAGAGTCTGTAGGAAACCAGGCCTGAGCTTCAAAGAGTCTTCTTCCAGTTGTCACCCAGGAGGTACCAAGTACTCCAGCAACAAGTTACAGGGAGTGTGGAATATTATCTACAAGGGAAGCTCATTAGTGTGGGAGACCAACCTTGCACGCGACTGAGTTAACTCCCCTGCTGGGCGATGTGGCGTCAGGCACCCATGCTGCTAGACTGCCCCACTCTTCTAGGGTTCCAGTGACTGTGTCTTTGTGCCTAGGCGTGGCTTCCTACAGCCCCATGGGTGAAGCTATGCTCACCTGTTCCTTTGCAATATTACTCTATGCCCTGTTTAGGATAGAATGTTCCATGGAAGTGCCTTGTGTGTGTCCCCTTCTCTTACTGAGCCCTTGGGTGTGGCCTACCCAAATGTCAGTCAACCTGCTGACAGTGGACATCATGAAGATAGACTCAGCCCCCTGAAACCTGACCCCTTGCCTCATTTGAATAGCTTCTCCTCAACAAAATGGGTGAGCGCTGCTCGCGCTCTCTCTCTCTCTCTCTCTCTCTCTCTCTTTCTCTCTCTCTCTCCCTGCAGACCCTTAAGGTCAGAGGAGCACAAACATTAATATTGTGGCAAAGCTGAGAGACACAGATAGATGAAGAGGAGAGCAGTGCTAAGACTCAGGGCATGATCCCTCATAGAGAACTGGCCCTTAGTTGCTGTTACTTAAATCTGGTCCATAGCTGCCATCCATATGGATGCRGGAGAACCCGTTATTCYAACACTGTCTTTTTCTTAAAAGATACTTCCAGACAGCCTGTTTACCATAGAATCCATATATAATTGACCATTACAGTCAGTACAATTAATCTAGTTATATGAGTGGAACTTCCAGTCTACACTGTAAGGCACATTAAAGGTGGACCTGGGAAATGCGTCCATACAAGTCTTTTCATAATCTTTACTTACCCACAAGCTCGTGAAGCTGCATGATTGTAAACTCTATAGCTGTAAATTTACTTTTCTGTGCCAGGTTTCTCAGTCATTATCATGATGAGTGGTTTAAACTCTCCTTTGATAGCTAATTTAATTTACTGAATCGTATTGGCACATTAGGTACCCAGTACCCTGGATTTCACTGGAGACTGGTCACATAGATGCCATCTCTCCTTGATATACACCAAATTTCTAGACTCCAGAAATAAACCAGATGTTCAACATAAACTATATCATTTACACAAATAGCTTAGGCAAAGAAAACCACTCTTAAGTTTCCAGGAATAGTGGGAATTCTCAAATCGAGTAGTTCCCAGACATCAGTTGAGGGCCAGCATTGAAGGCAGGCTTTTCTAAGAATGGCCTACTGTCAACTCCTAGGCAGCCATTGTCGTTATCGTATTTGTCAAAGGTCACACGCTGATTGTCTAACCAAAATCTGTACCTTCATCAGCACACCACAATGTTGAACTCTATGGTGATGTATAAATAGCTGAGGTGTTCACATGGTAGAAGATTTTCTAATTTATGATGAGTTTTTGAGGAGACAAGGGAATGTTGGTATTATATTAATTTTTAAAAAGCAAGAAGTAAAATTTCGTATCAGTATGACCTCAACTCTGTAAAATAAACATTGTTTTTGGAACGACTAGAAGGAAATACACCTCTAGGTGGAGAAATTATACCTATTTGCTTGACTAATTATGATTTCCTATGCCTTTTCACTTTTTTGTTTTGTTTTGTTTTTGTTTTTTGGTAAAAGGGATTGAATCCAGGGTGCTTAACCATCAAGCCACATCCCCAGCTCTTATAATGTCTATATTATTTTGAGACAGAGTCACACTAACTTGCTTAGGGGCCTTGCCAAATTTCAGCAACTGGCTTTGAATTCGTGATCCTCCTGCCTCAGCCTCCCGAGCCACTGGCATTATGTGTGTGCGCTACTATGCTTAGCTCCTATCTTTTTTTAAAAAACTTTTTATACTTTATTTTATTAGCTTACTTTTTTATATGATGCTRAGGATCAAACCCAGTGCCTCACATGTGCTAGGCAAGCGCTCTGCCACTGAGCCATAACCCCAGCCCCCTTTCCATTTTTTATGAGCAAATATTAATTTTAGAATAAGAAAAAATTTAAAGAAAACTTTTTTAGTTAAAAAGTTAAAATAGGGGCTGGTACATAGCTCAGTGGTAGAGTGCATGCTCAGCATGCATAGGACCTGAGTTCAATTCTCAATACCAAACCCAAACAAACTAAACCTCAGAAATTAAAACTAGCTGGGCACAGTGGTACACACCTGTAATCCCAGCAGCTTGGGAGGTTGAGGCAGGAGGATTGAAAGCCAGCCTCTGCAATTTAGCAAAGTGCTAAGCAACTCAGTGAGACCCTGTTTCTAAATAAAATACAAAATAGAGCTGGGGATGTGGCTCAGTGGTGAAATGCCCCTGAGTTCAATCCCCAATCCCCCCACACCAAAAAAAAAAAAAAAAAAGAATAAAAAGGGCTGGGGGTCCTGAGGGCTTGCCTAGCACGCTTGAGGTGCTGGGTTCTATCCCCAGCACCATGAAAAATAAATAAAAACCATTATTTTTGTTTCTCGGGATATTTATTACTTTAACACAAGATGACTCTTCTCTGACATTGTTACCCTTGTCCTTTCAGTTCGAGGGCAGCAACCTGCACCAGCTGGTTCTGAAGATTTGTCAAGCGCATTTTGCCCCCATATCACCCAGGTTTTCTCGTGACCTGCGGTCCTTGATCCCTCAGCTCTTTAAAGTTTCTCCTCGGGATCGACCATCTATTAATTCCATCTTGAAAAGGCCCTTTTTAGAGAATCTGATTGCCAAATACTTGACCCCTGAGGTGAGTTTTGAGGTGATTCTGTTTTGTTGGGCAGAGATTTGAGTTGGCGGTTTCCTTGACACTTGTATTGGATTTTAGGTCATTCAGGAAGAATTCAATCATATGCTCAGATACAGAGCAAAATCATCTGCCTCCCCACCTGCTGGAAAGATGGTCCAGGGTAAGAATGATTTACCATGCAATCAAAGAGCATTTATGGCCAGCGCCGTGGCACACTTCTATAATCCCAGTGACTTGGGAGGCTGAGGCAGGAGGATCTCGAATACAAAAGTCAGCCTCAGCAAAGGCAAGGCTGCTAAGCATCTCAGTGAGATCCTGTCTCTAAATAAAATACAAAATAGGGCTGGGGATGTGGCTCAGTGGCAGAGTGCTTGCCTACTATTCATTCCTTGGGTTCTAATCCCAGCAATGAAAAGGAAAAAGCATTTATGATCCTTTTGTGGTTCATAGTCCCAATGACTGAGTTTTCACAGCTTTGTGTGTGATGTCAACACATTATTTGTCTAATATTTTTTAAAAAGCATTTATTCTACGTGTCTCATATACTGAATTTATTGAGTTACAGAGCTGGCAATGTTAGCGGAGGAATTCCATTAAATATATTGAACATGGACATTTAGAAAATATGCACAGTATGAACAGGAGAGAAATCACCTTGTTATCACGTAGTGACCAGTGAGTGTGTTGGAGAAGTTGTATATGTAGCTCAAGATATCCTGGGGGGTTCAGCTCCTTTCTTCTTATAATTTAGGAACCTTCCAGAAGCTTTGAGAGGTCAAATCCAAGTTTAACATTTGTATGGGAAGGGATAGAGTGGGAGAAGGTTCACAGACGGACATGAAATAATGTAATGAAGTTTTTTACATTTTTCCCCCCCCAGACATAGAGAGGATGGACTGGTAATTAGAATTCCTGGGGGTGTAGCACAATGGTACAGTATGTGCCTAGCATGCACAGGTGCACAGGGCCTGGGTTCTATCTCTAGCACCACACCAAAAAAAAAAAAAAAAAAAAAAAAAAGAAGAAGCATTCTCTTACAAAGAGAACTCTACATCTCTACATTGGAGCTGAAGTTAGGATCTTGGACCAAATTGAAAATAGTGTGAGCTCCAAAGGAAGCAGATGTTATTTTATGGTACTGGTAAGTAGAGAGAACAATTTTGGTCATGGTGTCAAGAATTAGCCAAAGTGATGAAATACTAAATGTGCATGCATGTGGGGTGTACACTAAACAAGAGAAAATGACTAATTCAACTGATGATGTGAAAGTAAGAGCAGGAGAATTTATCCATAATCAAATTTCTGGACTGAAAGGATCAGAAGGAGTAGAAAATCTCTCCGAGGCACCTGTGATGAGGAAATGTCATCCAATGTGCTAGAGAAGCTGACATTGAGGAAAGTCATAAAGGGAAAATGAGTTCATCTATCAGGCTAGATTGAGAATGTTTGAAAATAGATAAGTAGAGGGTGAGAGAAAATACATCATCCACATTTCTGATATAGGAAAAGGAAAACAAGAATGAATTTTAATGGAGGCAAAGACAAATATGTTAAAAGGAATATTTCAAACAATGATAAGATAGGAATAGTGTTGCCTGATAACCCAAGCTGTCGTGACTACATTTAATTACTTTTATAATTATAAATTGTTTTTATAAATATTTACATTGATTCCTCTTTTTATAAGTAGTGTTATTCATTGCTCGAAATTTATAAAGAAACTCTGGGGGAAATGGTTTTATTTTCTTTAAAAATGCAGAGAATGCATAGTGATATTTCTTTTTTTATTTTAATTTTTTAAAAGTACTTTTTTTTTAGTTTTAGGTGGACACAATATCTTTATTTTACATTTATGTGGTGTTGAGGATCGAACCCAGTGCCTCATGCATGGTAGGCGGCGAGTGCTCTACCACTGAACCACAATCCTAGCCACCATAGAGATATTTCATCAGTGATTCTCTGTGTATAAAATATCTCTGGCCTGAGTAAACTTACTGTGTTATGAAATGTGTTTGTACTTAAGTATCAATAGTAAAGGTGTAAGAAAAAAATTCAAAACTAAAGTTGTTTTATTTTGGTTAAATAAGATTCTAAAATACAGCGAGTGAAATTCCAGGGAAAGTTCCCTCCACGATCAAGAATATCAGTGCCATTTGAAAGGAAGGCTGTATTACCTAGAAAAAAATGGAGACCACCAGCTGGAACCCAGAAGCCCACGTCTGTGAGTTATGCTAATCCCATCCTCTGGTTCTTTAGCTAAGGTATACTCTGAAARATCCACCTGCACATGTTCACATACTACAAGCAAATTAATTTTGGAATCCATTAGTTTCATACTTAAAATAAAATCATTCTGTAGTGAGCATTAAAGTATACTTTATATATATAAATAAAAATAAAGGTCCATCAAAAACTAAAATAAATAAATTTATTTATTTATTTATTTATATAATCTCCCCACCAGCGTTGGGGCTTGAACCCAGGGCCTGATTCATGCTAGGCAAACACTTTACCACTAAGCTATATCCCAGCCCTAATTGGTGTTGGTTTTGTGTTTATTTTTGTGGTCCCGGGGATTGAAACCAGGAACATTCTATCRTTGAGCTATATCCCTATCCCTTTTTAAATTTTATTTTGAGATAGGATCTCCATAAGTTTCCCAGACTGACCTCCAACTTGTGATCCTCCTGCCTCAACCTCTCAAGTAGCTGGGTTCCTAGCTAATATTTTTGTGTATTTGATTTTTTTTTTTTTGCTTTTTCTCAATGCTAGGGCCTGAACCCAGGGCTTGGCACGTGCTAGGCAAGCACACTACCACTGAGTTATAGCCTATATTTTTTTAAAAAAATGAATGCTTTGTTTTCTTTCAATTATACATTAGCTTTATTTTTCTTTTTATTACTGAAATTTTTCTAATTTCTTTGTTTATATTAAAAGTTTTTCTTATAGGACAATTGAGTAAGACAACAACAGAAAACATTGCATTTTGTACATCAAGTTCTAACCTGYTACATATGTAATTGAAGAGTTTTATTATATAATAATTGAACTTTAATCAGTGAATTAAAGCCAGGGATGCTTTACCACTGAGCTACAGCCCCACTCCCTTTTATTTTTCATTTTAAGACACCATCTTGCCAAATTGCTGAGGCTGGCCTTATACTTCTGATTCTCCTGCCTCAGATTCCCAAGTTGCTACAATTACAGGAGTTTGCCATGGCCCCCAGCCCCCTGGAGATCCTTTATACTGAGTTATTTGAATCTACTTAAACAGTGTTTGTTGTTGTTGGTTGGTTGTTGTTTTTTAGGTCATGCTGTAGAATGCTTCTGAAACATAAATGATAAAATGGTCATTGCCCTTATTTATTTATTTGGTGATGATCAAACCCAGGGCCTCCTGCATGCTAGGACTAGCACTGAGCTACATCCCCAGTCTGAAGAACTGTATTTTTAAAGAAGGCTCATGGTATAATTAGAGGACATTTTGTTTTTTCCCCTTTTTCTTTTCTTTTCATTTCCTTCCTTCCTTCCTTCCTTCCTTCCTTTCTTTTTTTTTTTTTTCTTCTATCTTTATGTTTGAACTCAGGGTCTTATACATGCTAGGCAAATGTTCTACCACTGAGCTACACCACCAGCCCTAGAGGACCATGTGGAAGTACATTTACTACATGTTTGCTTAGTATATAGACATTTTAGAAAACGTATTGATACATAAACAGTTTTTCTAAACTGTTGTTAAAATGTTGCCCTTCATTTGATAAAATATGGATTAACTATTAAAAAATAAGAAAAGTRTGTTGGGATACAGAATACTCTGACCCAGACCTGTAGGAGAAAAAACATCTAAAAGATTTGGGGGTGGATTAAGTCAGGAGAACTGTCAAGCAAGTTGACATCTTTTCCAATTATTTGAACAGCTTCTGCTGATGCAATAAAATAAATGGATCTGCACAGAAACCATCTCAGATGTTCCCATTACTGACTTGGATTTTAGAGAAAAATCCTAAAGAAGCCGTTTTTTATTCCTTTTTTTTTAACCATTTTCTGTTTTTTTTTTAATCCCTTAATCAAGATTTATTTCAAGACTTGAAAACATTCGGACTAATAAAAAGGAGCTACTATAATTTTTTATAATACAAAAACATTTAATTAAAAACTTTTTAAAAAGTAGACACAATGGGAGGGGACTGGAGTTCTGGCTCAGTAGTAGAGTGCTTGCCTAGCATGCATGAGGCACTGGGTTTGATCCTCAGCACCACATACAAATAAATAAAAATAAAGGTCCATCAACAACTAAAAAGATATTAAAAAAAGAAAAGTAGACACAATCAACTAACCCTAAGCAGCACACCATATATGATATTCAACAGCAATGGCATTTAACAAAATATGAGGTGACAGTAAGACATCAAAGAACTTCCAAAGTCTAAATAGAACATAATTAACAGCAAAGTATTCAGATTAAACAAACAAAAATCTATAGTTACACTTTTCATATTTATTAACTGTGTCTAAACAATTTTCAACAACTAACTCAGTACTACCTTTTTCTGGGTTGTATGTATTCAGGTGTAATTGTAACTACTTTTCACTTTCAAAGATTTTAAAAATAAACATACAGTTTCTGTATAGACCAATAAACCAAGTTTTATATGTATCTTAGTATTTAAATAAAACTATAAAAAAAGAGCCATTTATGTAAGTTGAAGAGGGTCAGGTATATATAATTCCATGATCCAGCTAACATGTGAGCCAGATAGCTTTACAAAGAACATAGGATGTAACATTTTCCTTCCTTTCATTTAAGTTTTATTTGTTTGTTTGGTTATTCATGTTCCCAATTACTTAGGTCTTTACAGGGACTTGATCTCTTTTTTTTCCCTCCTCTTTTATTAGCAACTGTTAAACAGGCAGAGTTGTCAAATTCAAACTTAAATTGAGGACACTTTGTTCTTTAGCTCAGGTCTTGTCTGGCTTTCTTATCTGAATATGGCCTGATTCTTATCTTCTAATGTGTTGACCTCTGTTTGTCTCTGGAATGAGATAAACCTGTGTTTCTGGTTGRGAAGAGTTGGTAGGGAGGAATAGCTTGGAGGGTTATTATGCCCATTCCAACCTTTGTATTCCTGGTGTTTTCTCAGCAAGATTGACTCAGTGATTCAGCATCTTCTATTTTTCAAGCCCTGATACCTTGCTTTTACTCAATTTATTAGAAACCACCAGTAAGGCAAACCCCCAAATCTGTGAGTTGCACTTTAGCTTTTATTCTCCCATAAAGTACAGTAAGGTATAAGAAAGTTTATAAAAAATAGAAAACAATAGGTCTGTGATAGTGGTAGAGCACTGGCCTGGCATGTGTGAAGCTCTGGGTTTGATCCCCAGCACCACATATAAATAAATAAATAATCCATTGAAAACTAAAAAAAAAAAAAAAATTTAAATAGAAAACAATAATTATGAGTAAACTTTCAGAACTTGGCTGGGCATATTAAATATTTTTCACATACTAGACATGAAAATATATGTGATTCAAAATTACAAAAAAGATTATAATTATAAACTGCTGTACTCAAGTACTTAGATTTCTAAGGTCTTTTCAATTATAGGATTTGGGGGCTCTAACATCATTTTTCTCTAAAACAGGTCTAGAATAAAAACAAAAATCTACCTTCAATGCTTGGTCATGGTAGCCATCAAATGGTCAATTATAGATTTATATGATGTCTTTAAAAGGAATCTTCCTGGGGATATAGCTCAGTTGGTAGAGTGCCTTTCATGTATTAGGCCCTGGGTTCAATCCCCAGCACACACACACACACACAAAATCTTCCCTCTTCTTTTCAATCTCTCAGATAAAAATGATAGAAAGGCCCAAACTTGATGCAGTTTGTGGACATTATGATTTTTATTATGCTCAACTTGACTTGTTGAGGAAGAGAGCCTGTGAACCAAGTGATCACCACGTTCTTCAGAAAGACTCTGGAACTGAGGAGAATTCTAATCAAGAAGAAAGTCACAGTCCGTCACCTGCTCAATGGTAATGTGGCAGTCTAACCTAAGCTTCTATCCTCTGAAAATATCTTTTTGTATCAGCATTTTTTTTTTTTTTTGTCTGTTGGTTTTGAGACAAGAGTCTTGCCGAATTGCCCAGAGTGGTATCGAATTCCTGGGCTCAAATGATCCTCTGTCTCATTTATCAGCTCTGTTTTCTAAAATCCTCCTAAATTCTCCTAAAACAAATAATTGAGGAAGAATTTATACAATCTTCACTTTAAACTCTTCATTCAATTTCTTGGCCCTTTTTTTATCTCAAATATGGTGTAGCTTATTTTCTTATTTATAGAGCCATTTAACTGTAGGCAAGCTTCATTTTCTCAAAATATATATATATTTTTTAACCCAGGGGCAGCTTGATCACTGAGCCATATCCCCAGCCTTTTTTATTATTTTAAGACAGGGTCTTGCTAAGGTTGGCCATAGATTTGCCATCTTCCAGCCTCAGCCTCCCCTGTCATTGGGATTTACAGGCACATTCTTGAATTTTTAATGTTTTTTTTTTTCTCCTTCTTCCTAGTGAGTTTTACTCCCAAGGGGTGAATAAAACAGTTGTATTTATTTCATTTTCCAAGGAGYTTATTCATAAGAATCATGAATAATTTAATTATTAAAACCAAATGATCACTTAAGAATATTAGAAAAGTGAAATAGATTTCATTCAKCGTTTATATTCTAGGGAGGTACAAAATATGTATACATTCAAAAAAGAATACTRTACTGAAACTGCCTTTAATTAAAAGTTTACCCTAACAAATTTCTGCAGATCTAGAGTATTTTCTTTTTATTCTTTTCTTGTTTGTTTTGTTTTTTACTCTAATATCACTGTTCCTGTGTTCAAAATGATGGATAGCCATCACAGGCATAAAGACCTAAGTCTGAGAGGTGGTTTTGTTTTTGCATTGTGCAAAACAAAACCCCAGGGCCTCCTGCATGCTAGGAAAGCACTCTACCACTGACCTACATACATCCTCACTTTATTTTTTTTTAAATGTTTTTGCCATCACTTTTTGTTGTTGTTCTCGTTGTTGTTCAGGGCTAGCGATTTGCTAACTTTGTTAACTTTGGTTATTTATTGTTGAGTGTGTGTGTGTGTGTGTATGTGTGCACGCACATGTATATCTTGGGAGATTGAACCCAGAACCTCATAAATTCCAGGCAAGTGAAATTTTGGATGAATCATATGTAATGAATCACTATGTAATAGTAATCTCATCAATAATTAGTGAAAATTACATGAGGAAGAGTGGTAAAAGAATGATTTCTTCAGGAATTCACAATGGGAAAATTAGGCATTTTAATTTTAAAGATAAAATGGGTTGGGCTGGGGTTGTGGCTCTGTGGCAGAGCACTTGCCTAGCACTGGGTTTCATCCTCAGCACTACATATAAATAAATAAAGGTCCATCAACAACTAATAAATATTTTWAAAAATAAAATAAAATGGGTGCTGGTATGGTTTTATTCACCATCATACCCACTTGATCAAAACAAATTATATGTTCCATTAGTTCAAACTGTAATACCCATGTAGGACTTAATTAGTAAGGGATATGAATTTTCCCTGCAAACTGGGAACAGTCAGAAAACTCCCTTCATCTTTTCTCAGACCTGGAAAAATAGATCTTCCATTCTTTGTCTAGATATTGGAACTGCCAAACTATCAATTGTTGTGACTCTGTATTATTTGTCTCCCAAACTCTCACATGAAATGTTAGAAACTCCTTCTCTTCCTACATGTCCCTGCCCTGTCATAGCTCCATCTTGCTGTATCCCAGGATACCCCCTGGTGAGTAGTTTACCCTCCCCATTGCTCCCAGCTTTTGCTCCTATGGAACTCCCATTCAAGGCGATGAGCTAGAGGAACAGGGTTTATTCAGGGCTGAGGGGATAGAGAGAATGTCTTTTGGATATTTTTTCTAATGAATATACTATTCCAGTTGGTTCTTTCAAGGGTTCAAGGAATGAGTGCTACAGTTTAGCTCTTTTTCAGTTCAAGCGCTCTCTGTGTGCCCTGGGCCAGACACCTTCACGGCCTATTCTTTTCTAAACCCCATTTCAATTCCTGTTAAATGGCATTGTGTCCATTTTACAGGTGAGGAACTAAGATGTAGGAACTTTAACTAGTTATCATTTAAAACAACTTTTAAAACAACTATTAACTTGACTCTGTAAATTGGGGACCTCTCATTGTGATGTTCTTTAAAGAGTTATTTCTGACATTATAGCTCTGTCTTTGGAAACCCTAGAAATTACTGGTATCACCAAATATTTTATCACATAGTTCGTCCTGTGTTCTGAAATGTAGTAGTTTTTATTTAGCAAACTATAATTATAAGAAATTCTTTGTGAACATTCTATAATTTTGACCTACACTTCTTGAACTTGAAACTTAAAGGTGGGCTGAGCATGGTGGTGTACCCCTATAATCCCAGAGGCTCAGGAGGCTGAGGCAGGAGGATCATAAGTTCAAAGCTAACCTCAGCAATTTAGCAAGACCCTAAACAATTTAATGAGACCCTGTCTCAAAATAATAAATTTTAAAAAGGGCTGGGGTGTAACTCAGTGGTTAAGCAACCCTGAATTCAATCCCTGGTTCAAAAAGGAAAAAAAAAAAAAAGCCAAAAGTGCATTGTGAATTTCATTACTAAGCTGAAAATCCACTTGTCACATTGGTGCCTAAGGGTAGTTAAAATTCTACTCAAGCTGAACTTCCTTATTTCCTAAGGCCTGCTGAGTATCTTCAAAGGAAAATTGAAGCTCAACAATATAAGTTAAAAGTGGAAAAGCAATTGGTAAGTAAAATACTAAATATGGGAGGCAATTAGAAATTTGCTGGTTTCTCTGTTTGCACATATTCATGGATCTTTAAGTCAGAGTTTATTCCACTAGAAGGGCAAGACTACCTTTCATCTTTCCCTAATTTTTAATTGCTACAGAAGAATAATGGGAAGAAGTTTGAATCAGAGTCTGGAAAACCCCAAAAAGGTTTTGTCCCTGGATCTAACAATTGCTGTTAACCTTGAACAACCCTTCTGAGCCTCAACTTCCTTTTCTATGAATGATCACTTTGGAGTGAAGGACCTTCTCCTGGTCCCTTTCAGTGTTGCACTTCTTTGATTCTGTTTTATTCATTTTTTGAGCTAGCTATGATTATATTTTATTAAAGACTTTTCTACACATTAAATCAAGTAATTACAGGGCTGGGTTGTGGCTCAGTGGCAGAGTGCTTGCCTAGCACATGTGAGGCACTGAGTTCAATCCTCAGCACCACAAAAATAAATAAAGGCATTGTGTCCATCTACAACTAAAAAAATAAAAAAAAAATTACTTTATTTGAGTTGAAAAGTTAACCTTTAACCTTTAGTACTGTCTCAGAATTCTGGGGCTGAGCCCAGGCTGCAAACACATCCCATTTGTGTCACTCATATTTTGAACTGCTCAAAAGTAGAGTTCTAATCCTCTACCCAGTCACAGAGCTTTAATTTCACATTTATAATTTACCACTTCAGAAGAGGAATATTGGTGTCTCGAATGATAGCATAAAATATCAGTTGCTTAGAATAAAGACCATAAACGTTTGCATTTTTAAAAAGTGTTCAGTGTTTCATACTTGAATTAAAAGAAATTTCTACTACTTGCCACAAAATAATTCCCCACTACCAAGTTTTCTCGGTGATATTTTTATCTGTCAGATAAAGTTAAGATCAAATCAGAAGATGTTTCCAAAATGCAAGAATGGTTTATAAATGATTTCATTCAATAAACAGGGTCTTCGTCCATCTTCTGCTGAGCCAAATCACAACCAGAGACAAGAGATTAGAAGGCGTGGAGAAAAGCCTCAATTCCAGGAGCTGCAGTTTAGAAAAAACGAAATGAAGGACCAGGTTAAAACATGGTYTAATACCAGGGCTACGATTGTGTGTTGTTTGTTTGTTTTCTACACCCTCAGCTCCTACCATTGTTTCCATGACTCTGTCTTGCTCTGTCCTAGGGTGCTGCTTCTGTTTCCCACAGGGTGCCTGGGAGGGAGCTGTACACACACAATCTGTCAAGCACTATGCTGGGTGTTTTAGGAGCAGAAGTAGCTATTTCATTTGCTCAGAGAATACAACATAGCTAAATTCATAAGGCCTCTTTCCTTGGATTGATAGAGTAACTGTCGATAACCTATTTAGAATTTTTATTAGTTTGCCAAATCTGGTGTAAGGAAGTACAATAGGCTGGGTGGTTTAAAATAACAGAAATTTATTGTCTAACATTTCTGGAGGCTAGAAGTGCAAAACCAAAGTGTTGTCAGTCCCATGACCCTGTGAAGTTCTATAAGGGAATCCTTCTTTGCTTCTTCCTAGCTTCTAGCTTGGCTGGCAATCTTTGGCACTCCTCAGCTTACAGCAACAGAACTCCAAACTCCGCCTTTGTTGTGCGGCCTTCTCCTTAGATCTGTGTCTATACATGGCTGTCTTTTTGAAAGAACACCAGCCACATTGAACTAGGGACCAGCATGACCTCATTTAAACTAATTACATCTGTAGTGACCCTATTTCCAAATAAGGTCACATTCAGAGACACTGGAAAGGAGGTAGGACTTAACACATATTAACCATATCAGGATTATATATAAAAGTAAAATGTGTAAAATAACTTTACATCATTAATTCATTTGTGGTTATATATGAACATGAGCTCTGTATCCCACACCAGTGTATCACTCACAGGATGTGAAATGCCACAGTCAAAATAAGGCAGATTATCATCTTAAGCAGCCAGAGGTTTCTAATGCTTATTTTATATTATATGTTAAAAAAATTGTAGGCTAGGGCTGGGGATGTGGCTCAAGTGGTAGCGGTCTCGCCTGGCATGCGTGCAGCCTGGGTTCGACCCTCAGCACCACATACAAACAAAGATGTTGTGTCNTCTCTCTCTCTCTCTCTCTCTCTCTCTCTCTCTCTCTCCCCCCCACTCTCTCTTTAAAAAAAAAATTTTAAAAAAAAGAAGCAGCCTTTAATCATTAAAAAAAATTGTAGGCTAGACAGAGGTTATTTTCATTATATGTTGTTTCATTATATATGTTTCATGAATGTTGTTAACAAACATTTCGTTTTTGTTTTGCAGGAATATTGGAAACAGTTAGAGGAAATACGCCAACAATACCACAGTGACATGAAGGAAATTAGAAGGAAGATGGAAAGAGAGCGGGAGGTAAATTCACTCTTCTAGAGGAAACACTTCTATCAATTAAGAGCTGTTTAAATGAGTAGGTGTTAAAAGCAATGATCTTGAACCAGGCRTGTAGCTCAGTGGTAGATCTCTTGTTTGGCATGCCCAAGGCCCTGGGTTTAATCCCCAGCACCAAAAAGGAAAACAAAAAGTAATGATCTCTTTGTAGATAGGATAAAGTTTTATTATAGATAAAAGCATACAAAATTCTTTTTTAAATAGGAAAGCTATCAGACCAAATAAAAGCTTCATTTTATTATGATTTACTAGTGAGACCCTGTCTCAAACAAAAAGGGTTGTGAGTGTAACTGAGTGGTAGAACACTTGCCTAGCATGCACAAGTCCCTGAGTTCAATGCCCAGTACCACATACACATACACACAGACAAACACAAACACACATACTTATTGATTTTCTTCGTTATCAGTCAGTATTTACTGAGCAACTACTTCAGGCCAGATCTGGATCAGATGCAGAAAGTTCAAAATGAGAATGAATTCATGTTCGTAAGGAGGAATAAAACCAAATATCTAGAGTTGATTCAGTTCAATATGGGCAGGCYGAATGTTCTAAAGTCTATACAGTCATGAGCAGCATAGGTTTTGGTCAGTAATGAACCATATATATAATGGAGGTCCAAAAAGATTATACTCCCTAGTGATGTTGTAGCTTGGTTTGTGTAACTACAGCCTCTGATGTTCACACAATKACAAAGATGCATTTCTCAGAACATATTCCTATCGTTAAGTGATGCAAGACTGAAAAGGCAAAATTTAAATATAGCTGAGAATGATTCTTAAAAATTCTGTAAAGGTGCCACATTGGAAATTGATCTTTTCCAGAATTGTAGCAGATTGCTGCTTCTTCAGTAGATGAAGCAGCTAGCCTGTGTCTTGAGTATGCAGTATGAAAATCACTTGGATATTTTAATCCTAGCTGTGCTCTGGAATGCCCCTCCTTTGAGAGATCTGTGGTCTCCCATCTCCCACCACTTGGCTGTGTGCTTGTTGAGTAGAACCCACACAACAGAAATTGATGTCTCTTTCTCTCTCTCCCTTTTCCCACCATGTTCCTCCACCTCTAGTGCATATGGCAGAATTACAATAAATTAAATGATGGCCCAATTCAATTGTATGTGTAAGAATACAGGCTAGAGTTTTCACATATCCTATCTCATTTAGACCCCAAACAGAGAAGTTGAGTGACTTAGATATTACAAGGCAGATTGAATATTAAAATATCTGACTCTAGAACTGGGAATGTAGCTCAGTGGTAGAGCTCCTATTTAGCATGTATGAGGCCCTGGATTTGATCCCCAGCACATATATACATACATACTTAAATCTGACTCTGACACTTTTGTTCTTTCTAGCAGATGTAGTTCTACTCATAAATAGTCGGAAAGATAAGACAATATATGAAACAAGGATAGAACAAGCAAGACTGACTAGAGTTAAGCTGTGTGCTCAGGAGCAAAGATAAGAAGGCTGAGTAAGGGGAACATTTTTTATGGAGGAAGGGGGTGGGACTAAGCTAGTCTGAGAAGAAGAGTTGAATTTAGAGGCCGAGCTAAGGAGAAAGCTTTGGAAGAACCACGCAAAGATTCCAACAGGATGTGCTGGAAGGGCAGCTTGCTCTCCAGAGCAGAGGTTTTGTTCGTGATGGGGAGCCTTGTGCTGGTATCAACCTTATATTTAAGGCAGGTCTGTGATAGGAAACCTGAGTCCAAGAAAGATGGGTAGCAGACATTTTTGTTTTGGTGGTCCTGGGGATTGAAACCAGAACTCCAGGCATCCTAGGCAAGCACTGGGTAGCAGACATTTCTAGAAAGATTATGAAAGAATTTAAGAAATGCTGGAAGTAGCCACAGGGAAAAGGAATTATAAGGCTCTAGGCCTGGGGTGTAGCTCAGTGGTAGAGTGCTTTTCTAGCATGCATGAGGCTCTGGTTCAATCCCCAGCACCAATACACACACACACACACACACACACACACACACACACACACAGGCTTTATCCAGTCTCTCTGTCAGCAGGGATGTGTCTCTCACTAGACCTACTCAGACCCTGGTGGAGGGTTAGGAAGTTGCCTTCAGCATTCATGCAGAATCATTCCTGTTGACTGTGTACACTTTGTGTTAAGGAGAACTCAAAAATCAGTCATCACACCTATTTGGTGAAGAAGAGTGGCCTGCCCATCCACCAAGAAGCACCTGAGGAGGAAGCATCTGTGCAGGTAGGACCCCTGTTGCTAGATATACATGTGTTTTAGTCAGCATTTTTGTTGCCATGACCAAAGGACTTGAGAAGAACAATTTTAGAGGAGGAAAAGTTTATTTTGGCTCACACTTTCAGAAAGGTTCAGTTCATGCTTGGCCACTCCATGGCTCTGGGCCCTAGGTGAGGCAGAACATCTTGGAGGAAGGGTGTGGCTAAGAGAAGAGAGAGAGAGAGAGCTCTGGTCGCCAGAGACAAAATATAAACCCATTGACCTACTTCCTCCAGCCACATCCTACCTGCCTCCCACACACTTAATCCATTATCAGTGGTTTAATCCACCTTTAGGTTACAGCTCTCATAATCTAGTCATTTCACCTCTGAACATTCTCTTTTTGGACCCAGGGATTGAACCCAGGGGCATTTAACCACTGGACCACATCCCCAGCCTTTTCTAATTTTTTTTTAAGTTGCCTAGGGCCTCCCTAAGTTATTAAGGGTGGCCTTGAACTTGTGGTCCTCTTCTTTAGCCTCCCAAGTTGCTGGAATTATAGGCGTGTGCTCTCATGCCTGGCTCCTCTGAACATTCTTTCATTGTCTCACACATGAGATTTTGGGGACACCTCATATCTAAACCATACCAATGAACTTCTCTGCAAGGTTGCTCTAGCCTGGTGGTTCTTATCTCTCACTGTGCAACAGAATCTTGTGGGGGCCTTTTAAAAACTCAGAGCTCTCTTTGTCCGTTTCTTTCTCCAGTTTCATGCTGCTGTTCCTCTCACATCAGATGTGCTGTTTGTCACTAGTTTACTTTGTACTTTCTGGGTTAGTTTACAGCCTATAAATAGGACCATACTATACTTGCTTTCTAATGTCTGGCTTCATTTGACATAATAAATGTTGAGATTTATCCATGTTTTGATATTAATAGTGTTACAGGCTGAGGTCTTCCAGGAAACTGAGGCAGCACAAAGAMCCCCCTTAAAACCTCAATTCTTATGATCAAGTCAGAAAAATTTTAGATGTGTCACTCATAGTAAGGAGCAATCAGTTTATTAGAAGGGATGGAAAAGGGGAAAGGGGACACTCTTGGGAGGGAGTGGGTCTTCTCAGAGAGGAGAGGGACAGTGTGCCTCTCCTGCATTCCAGTTTCATAGGGGAATCAGAGAAGTTTCCAGAGAGTCCTATCCAGGTCCACTTTTGACTGACAGCAGGATGATATCAGACTTTCAAGTCCCCACTGCTATGACAACTCTATGTCATTTTGGCCCATGCTTACACATTATCATTTGGATTGTTAACCAATCTGTGAGAATTCTTACATATTTTATGGTTAGGAGGAATKATCCTTATCTCCCAAAGTTTCGGGATCTGGTCTGCAAAAAGGGTCACAAAAGTCTCTCCCTTCAGGGTAACTTGGATTCCTGTTATCGACATTATTTTGGGCCTGCGTTTCTCTTGTAGATAACAGGTAGTTTGCTGAGGAATGTGACATATCCTGTCCACTTAGGCCAGGCAGGGCTGCAGGTAAATTGCTTCCCAGAAAAGAAAACATGTGGGGGTCAGCACAGTGGGCTCATTTTATAGAATTATTCCCTTAACCTCCTGTTCCCATCATTCACATTTGTCTGTCCCCTATCAATAGTATCATTCCTCTTTATTGCTGAGTATATTCCATCAAGTGACTGTATCAAAATCTGTTTATCCATTCAGCTATAGATGGATATTTCGGTTGTTTCCAGCTTATTACAAATAAACATATAAGTTTTTGTGTGAACATATRTTCCTTTTCTTTCTTTTGGATAAATAGAGTGGACAGGAGTGACTGGATTATATAATAGATTTATATTTAACTTTTCTTTTCCCCCCAGTGTTGGGGATGGAACCCAGGGCTTCACACATGCAAAGCAAGTGTCCTACCACCAAATTATACCCCCAGACACCCCTCTTTTTAAAAATAAGAAATAGACTCTTGTTGTGTTGCCTAGGCAGATCTCAAACTCTCAGTCTTCCTGTCTCAACCTCCTGAGCAGCTAGAACTACAGATAGGCACCACCACACCTGACTGGTATGTTTAACTTTTTAAGACACTGCCAAATGGGTTTGCAAAGTGGTTGAACTGATACATTCCCACAGGCTGTAGGAGAGCTCCAGTTCTCTTTTGGCACAGCTCCCTCCTCTCTGGCAGGGAGTCTGCCAGTCTCAGCATCCCTCCACCAAGCCCTGCAAACTCTCTGGAGACTTGGGGGGGGCAGGGGGGGCTGGGTGTGGTGGCTCAGGTCTCTAATCCTCAAGGCTCAGGAGACTGAGGCAGGAGGATCAAAAGTTCCATGCCCATCTTAGCAATTTAGTGAGACTCTGTTTCAAAATAAAAGCTAAAAAGGGCTGAGAATGTAGCTCAGTGGTAAAGTGCCCCTGGGTAGGGACAGTTGGAGGGCTCATCACATCCCGTTTCTCAAGTATCCTCATTTTTCATTCTGGCTGTCTAATGTGTTAAAACCATTATTGCTTCTGTACTTGATGTGGCTTTGGGGTTGTTTCAGTTGGGGAGTGACTCTGGTGCCTGGTACTGTGCCCTGACTACAAGCAGAATGCAATACCACTTCTTGGGTGTGTGAGGAGACCAAGAGCTCCATTCTGGAGTTAGAAGAGATCTGAGAGGTTACAAACCTGCTTTGGGGCTTTTACCCCACTATCCCCAATGCTTTCCCCAGCCAGACGTCTACTTCCTATACTGACGCCCAATATCACTCTATACCTTAAATCAAATGCCAAATAGCTTCTCCCATATTATTCTCCTCCCCTACTCATTTCTATTCTATTACCCTATTTCACTTTCTTTTATARTACTTCTGAAATTATGTCGTTAATTTGTCAACTCATTTATTAACTATTCTGCTCCATGTCAGCAAGGGCCCTCGCAGCTATCTTCACTCTGCTAATCATTGCCTAGGCGTCTGGACCGTAGACTGTTTACCTAGCATGTGCAAATCCCTGGATCTGATCCATAGCACTGAAAAAAAAAAGTTATTATTTTTTTCTTTGGTGCTGGGGATTGAGCCCAGGGTCTTGTGCACACTAGGCGAGCACTCTTCCACTGAGCTATACCCCAACCAGCACATTTATGTTGTTAAATTGGATCTGATTGGATTAGACTGCACTGGGGGGATGAGCTTTGTCACATTATAGAATTTTTACCCATTGAAATGTCAGTGTTTAATGTCTGAGTGTTTGTTGATTGACATTCTGCTTTGGTTTTTGATATTAATTTTCCTTTAYAAAGGCATGTTTGTATTCTAAAATCTATCACCAGATTCAATCTAGAAATAAAATCATGTAAACATACAAGGCTGTGAATTCTGAGGTTGTGAAAATATTATTGTTCAATATGAAGTGACAGAATCATTTTTTTCCTCTAAACTTTCAGGACACTGAAAGAGACTTGAAACAAATGAGGCTTCAGAACATACAGGAAAGCAAAATTCCAGAACAGAAATATAAAGCTAAGGTAATCCACATTTTTGTCTTTTGGCTCCGTGTGAGAAGCTGGCTGGGGGTCCACACCTGCAGTCTGGGCACCTATGTCCTCACGCCTCTTGTTATTTTATGGAATAGCCCTACTTTGTGATGTTAGACTAATGGTTTTAAGTATATGTAATGTTAAAATAAATTGATCTAGGGAGTTGTTATATTAAGGCTTTTAAAGAATTGCTAAATTAAAGGATTTTTCCCCCTTGTTTTCTTGTAGAGAGGAGTGAAGTTTGAAATTAATTTAGACAAATGTATTTCTGATGAAAACCCCCTCCAAGAGGAAAAGGTATGTWATTAAGTGCACACATGAGAAAATGAGTGTGTCTTAAGTTTCTTGAAATTGTTTCACAGGCTRTAGGGAAAAATTGCTTAAATATTCCTAAAAGGATCTCTAGTATTCAAATGAGTCTTCCAAATACTTTTTATCCTTCTTCTTCTTTTTCTTAAATAGAGGTTATTTACTTAGGTAAATTATTATGTTTAAAATTATTTTTATTTTATGAAGAACCTATTTTCCTCACATTATTATGTTTTTATTATTGCCAAATTAAAATAGAAGATAGTTGACAACAAATATACTGACCTAAAAAAACTTGGGCAGGTACCCTGGGCACATTCATTTTCGGTCTTAATTAGTTACTGATAGCTTTGTACATATCTCTGGGTAAATCTCAATTATGCATTTGGTCTCTCCTTGCCACAGAAGCAAATGGACATGTTTAGTAAACCCAAATCTCATTTTATTACTTGATTTCAACATCTTCTTTTTTTAAAAAATATTTATTTATTTAGTTAGTTCTTGGCGGACACAACATCTTTGTTGGTATGTGGTGCTGAGGATCGAACCCGGGCCGCACTCATGCCAGGCGAGCGCGCTACYGCTTGAGCCACATCCCCAGCCCTCAACATCTTCTTTTAAAAAATATTTTTTTCTAGTTGTAGATGGGCACAATCTCTTTATTTATTTATTTTTATGTGGTGCCGAGGATCGCACCCAGTACCTCCCGTGCAAGGCAGGCACTCTACCCCTGAGCTGCAGCCCCAGTCCATCTTGTTTACCTCATTTTTTATCATACCTGCTAACAAATGTCAAAATTAACTGATTGTTGTTCCATTTTACCTTCTCTAAATTCACCATTTAGATTATCAAAATTTAAGTATGAATAATCATATCTGATACTCATTTTTTTTCATGTGTGTGTGTGTGTGTGTGTGTGTGTGTGTGTGTGTCTGTGTCTGTGGATAAAATCCAGGGCCCTGCACATGGCATGCAGACAAGCACTCTACCACTGAACTACCTCCCCAGTTCTTCATGTTCTTTATTATCTTAAAACTTTATGGAGCTGGAGGGGTAGCTCGGTGGTAGAATGTGTGTTTAGCATGCTGAGCCCTGGGTTCAACCCCCAAACCAAACCCTCCACAAGACACCAAAAGCTTTTGTATGTCATCATTTCATATTTTTACAAGCATTTTGCTACATAAAGACTTCACTACAATGGTGATAATTAGTTCCTACTTCTGTTCATCCATTAGGTCTCCAGGTGCCCCAGAGCTGTGGGATCAGAGCAGAGCAGGTCTGGGGAGTGGCACCTCCACAGGGCTTCTGTGACTGGAGGTGCTGAGATCAGCTTGCTAGAATGAAAGAAGGGACTCCAAAAGCACTAGCTGCCAGGGTGTTCATCCTCTCTTATTCTATGCATCAATGTGCTTTAAACAAAATTGATCATTTTAGTATTGATTGTGGTGTATGAGGAGCAGTTTTAGGGACATAGTTGAGAATGCTGTGAAGTTGGGTCTGATTTGTGCACCCATATAGTGTCAGCTACTCCAGAGGCTGATGCAGAAGGATCACTTCTCAGGTCCAGAAGTTTGAGACCAGCCCCGATAACATAGTGAGACCCCCTGTCTCAAATAAAAGATTGTTGTGCTATAGTCTGACAGCAGGACCTGAGGATGCGGTGGGATGGAACCGAAGTAGAATAATATTGAAGACGTTTCAAAGTCCAGATAAAATTAAGTGCTCATTACTATTGAGAAGGAGAAATGAAAACATGGCTGTTTCTATCTCAATCACTGTAATTCCATTGTGTGTGTGTGTGTGTGATACTAGGGATTGAACCCAGGAGTGCTCTGTCACTGAGCTAGCTACAAGCTATATCCCCAACCCTTTTTATTTTTTTTATTTTGAGACTTGGTCTCACTAAGTTGCCTTGGCTGGCCTTGAACTTGTGATCCTCCTGCCTCAGCCTCCAGAGTAACTCTGATTACAGGCCTGCAACACAGAGCCTGGCTATAGTTCAGCTTTTAAAACTCTATAGATTTGTTTGTCTTGCTTTTGAATATTATTGGGAACACAACAATTTTGACATCCTCCCCCCAACATGGCTTATTTCTCATGAAATACTGTGGAAATGCTTTAGGCAACGGACATACTAAATGAAACTTTGACCTTTGAGGACGGCATGAAGTTTAAGGAACATAAAAGTATAAAGGAGCACGAAGATTACACAGACAAAGCCTTTGAAGAACTCTGTGGCCCAGAAGCAGGTACGTGTTCCTGGAACTCTATGGATAGACGGAGCCTGTTCATCAGCAATCTATCTTGAACTCTATCTGCCGGCTCCCCCCTGGTTCTTGTTTTGCATACCCCCAGACTCCGCCCTCTTCTCTTGCTCCACACTTTGAGGATTTCACTAGTTCTCTCTACAGCCTCAGCCTCTCCTAGGAGCTCCAACTTACCAATCTTTTTCTTTACCTGCTGGAAAAGCTCACAGCCTTATTTTCTATTGAAAATAGCACATTTGTTTTTTTCTTTATAAGATTCATTTAAATCAAACTTTTCCTATAATCAGTATTGTGAATATTTCCCCCAGTTGGTCTTCAGATCTCACAGTAACAACAGCAAATTGTGTGTGTGTGTGTGTGTGTGTGTGTGTGTGTGTATGTTCACTCAGGAGTAAACTTTGTAACAGTTGTGCAGGGCGTTCAAAGAAAACTATAAGATTTTAGTCAAGTAAAGACCACTTGACAAATGGAGAGAATTAGCAGTGCTATAGATTGGAAATATGGTTCCTCAATATATTTATGGCAATTTCAATAAAAATCACAATAGAATTTTTTTCCTGATGTGAGAAGATCTTGGCAGAAGATTGCAGAGATTTGTAATTAGCCAAAATATTGTGAGAAATAAGAGCAGTGAAGGAAAACTTACCTTTTCAAGTATCAAAATATATGTTATACTCATTCAAACAGTGTGATAGCGGCATCTGGGAGAAGTGAGAGTTTAGAAACAAACCTCAGTATGTCTCATACATAATATAGTGCATGCCAGCAACCCAAGTCAATGGAAAGACAGAGGATTATTCAAATAAATGCTTTTAGACCAACTTGTTAACAATTTAGAAAAAACTGTGAAACCAGACCCGATGTAGTATAATGAAATATATTTTTAAAAAATCAGTGTACGTGTGGAAATGTTACATTTAGAAAATGAAGTAAAAGAAAATAGGTCATTTTTTATGATAAGGAAGAAGTAGCTATTCAAAATTCATAGGAAGGGGCTGGGGATGTGGCTCAAGCGGTAGC